CCCCCCAGTGCCTGCTCTGTCTGTAGGATAAATGGAGCCTGACGGCACCGCCTGGGAGTCCCCCCAGGGATACCCCAGTGCCTGCTCTGTCTGTAGGATAGATGCGGAAACTGAGGCTAGAGGAAGAGAGAGGCTCGCTCTGGATGCTTCCATGGGAGTCTCTGGCGGTACTTAGGACCCCTGTCACCTCGCTGACGGCCACCACCCGTTTCCCGTCCTGTTCCTAATACATCTGTCCTGGACATGCCCCCCAGCAAGAAGGAATATTAGCGTCCCCGTGGGAACTGTGCGAGACCAGCCCCCAGGGCACACGATGGGGTGATAGTGATGGTGATGGTGGTGGTGACGGAGGAAGGGAGCCAGGGCCACAAACCCTCGTCTGCCCCTCGGAAGCCCAAATCCAAGTCCCCTCGGTGCGTCTGGCAGGAGGGTGCTGCAGCCTCTGTCCCTCTAGCGCACCAGTTCCTATGCTCCCCTGCAGAGATGCGAACATGCCCACCACGAGCACGCGACGCCTGCGTGACCGGACCTTCTGCAGTCTGAACACTGAGTTCCCACAAGCACCTGGTCCAGGTTCCCAACAGGGCTGTGGGCCTGGGGAGGTGCTCTCCTCTCCTCCCCTCCACCCTATGTGTCTCTCCAGGGTAGGAAAAGCCTATGTCCTCCTGGAGGCCTCTCTGCCACTCACAGCACCCAGCGCCCTCCACGCTGGCCTGCGTCCTGTGCTCCCAGGCCCTCCACCGTGAGCTCGCTCTGCTCCTTCAAGGGTCTGCTCCAGCAAGACCTTCCTGTGAGACGCACCAGAGCCCTCCATAGTGTGGCACCTCCCCCCACCCCCTGTGCTCCCCAACCCCCACCCCTGCCATGTCTGTTTATCCCCACGCCATCCATGGCCTTCCAGTGCCCATACAGTCATTAGCTTAGCTGGTCTCCTGTCGGTCTCCCCATCACACCCTGACGCCTACATCAGCAACCCCGGGGCAGGGGCATTGTTCACTGCTGTGTCCCCAGCACTTAGAGCCGGGGCCTGCACAAAGTAGGTGCTCAATAAATACTTATTCTCTGAACGACTCTTATATAATCATTCCGACTGTCTTTTAAAGTGGGCATGGCCACCAGCCTCCCTCACTTTTTTTTTTTTTAAATTTTTATAATTTGCTATAGGATGCATGTGCTTGCCAGGCAGAGAAAGGGAAAGTGAGAAAGTGCCCCCTCAGAGGGGATGACCATGCTGCAATTCCTTCTCCTCATCCTTCTCTCGGGATTCTGAGCACACACTCACATACACACGCGCACGCCCCCCGGTGCATTTCTCGAGCTGCCAGGTCCAGGACTTGAACGGCACAGTTGGCCACTTGTGATCCAGGGACCCCAACCACCACATCACCGCTGGCCCTCAGTCCCTATTTTTATAGATGAGCAGGCTGAGGCTCTGCAAAGTGTTTTGGTCACTTACTGGGTGGCCAGATAGAACTCCCACCTCCCAACGTGTGCAAACATGAGCACACATGCACGCATAGCACACATGTGCACACATACACGAGCACACAAGCACATGCATGCACAAACACGAATACACACACACAGAGCAGTTCGGCTAATTTTGTCAGGTTGAGCTGAATTCTCTCCCTGGTCAGTGCTGGAAAGACCCATCTGAGAGGGTGGAGCCAGGCTGAGTGACCAGAGAGCCAGTGCCAGCCCCGTGGCCCTCAGGTCCCTGCCTCCGTGCTGCAGGTAGGTGGGGAGCTCGGGGTCTGCTTAGGCCCTGCTCCTGTGTGTTCAGGGCCAACCCGGGCGTCAGCTCTGCGGCCCGGGACAGTGGGCTAGAGCCCCCTCCCCCTGGCTGTGCGTGCCCAGCTCCCCTCGGGCCCGTCCTTCCCCATTGCTCTGCCTTTGCTGTGCCCTCTGCCTGGGACCCTCTTCCCTCTCTTCTCTGCAGGCTGGCTCCTTCTATCATTCAGGTCTCAGACAAGACACTGCCTCGTTAGGGAGCCGTCCCAGTCGCCCAGTGCTCAGCGTTACTGTGCACCCCGGTCCTCGGCCAAACTTATCGCAGTATTTCAGAACTGTGCGTATTTCAGGCTCTCGGTTACTCGTGTTCTCTAACCGTCTCCTCTGTCTGTTGGTCACATCCACGAGGACAGGGACTCTGCCGTGTCCCCAGCGCTCTGCACAGAGCCGCATCACACAGATGCTCATTAAATATTTTGGATGATGAAGGGATAGATGGATAGACAGATAGGTGACTCCCCCAGGGACTGGGGTGAAGAGAGTGCGACAGCTGGGCGAGCGTCAAGCCTCTCCTCCTCAGGGAGTCCTGCCTCATATTGTCGTTTCTGTTTGGCCCCGGTAATAGTGCTTTCTAATAACAATAATGTCGTCGTTTATGTTTATGGGCACTTGCTGTACCCTGTGTCGGGCATGGTGCTAATGCTCGAGGTGCACTATTCCCGTGCCCTTATGAGGATCTATGAAGTACTGTTATCATTCCCAGTTTCTGGGGGAGGAACTGAGGCTGGAGGAACTAGCCCCAGGTCACCCAGATGGCAAGTGGCAGACGGGGATTCAAACTGCAGAGTCCAGAACTTTCCCACTCTGGAACTGGCTCCTGGAGTCCCTGTGGCTGGCCAGAGAGGGCTGTGCCCTGGTCAGAGCGACGCCCCTGCCCCCCCCGTAGCAAGTGAGTATCAGGCAGGTCGGGGACAAGAGGGCATAGCTGTGGGGAGCCCCTGCCTGGCACCGCCACCCCAGGTCCCCAGCCTCCTTTCAGCTAGGAGGCGGCCGTGTCCCCAGGGCTCTGGCGTGGATGCAGCCCTTCCTGGACGGACTCGAAGGGGCTGTGCTGCTTGACCCTGGCCCCGGCCCGGCCCTGGCCCGTGTAGAGGTCGTGTCTGCCGCCATGTTCCTGTGTGGGAGCGGCTTTGCTGTCTTCACTCTTAGCTAAGGGCACGGGGGCCTCCATGAGGGCAGGGGTGCAGGCTTGAGTCAGATCGCTGCTCCCAGCTGCTCCACCCTGGGGCCGCCACTGGGCTCTTCTAGGCCTCAGCTTTCCCACTGCCAAATAGGGAACATGGACACCTACCTCCCAGGCCGCTGTGACGTTTACAGGACAAAGTGGCCTTGGAAGGGTTCTGTGGCCCAGCCGTGGTGGCGCAAACAGGAGGATGCAGCTGTGATGGGGCTGCCTGGGAGACTTGGATTCAGTTCCCTATACAGATCGGGCATGGCAGCGTGTGCCCGTGGGCCTAGCTCACCGGGAGGCTGGGGCAGGAGGACTGTGGGGAGAGCCCATCTTTCACGTAAAAAAAAAAGCGTTTTGTAAACTATGACCCCTGGGCAGAGGGAATGTCCACCACTCTCCTGTGGGTTGTATCACTTACACACACATACACACACATGTACACACACGTACACACACGTGCACACACACACACACACATATACACACACTGGGACCACCTGCTCCTGGGTTCCAGACGGGCCCCATGTTGAGGAGAAGGCGCTGCTTCCATGCCTTCCTGCCCAGTCCTTCCTGGACCCTTGGCCATGATGGGACACTGGTGGAAGGCCTGCCTGGTGGGGCCTCTCCCCGTACCCAGCTGGAACCGGGCTGGACCCAACCTCCAGTTCCGGAGGGCTTGGCAGCCACAAGTGAGAAGTGCGGGGAGTTTAAGGGTCTGGTGCTAGGAATCCCCAGGGTCACGGGGCCCTACTGTCTCCAGGTCTCTGACCGTGGCACAGAGACTTTCTGTACCTCTTGCTGCTACGTGTAAGAACAGCCACAGAACGTGTGTGCACGTGTGCCATTGTCACAGACGTGGGGGAAGGTAAGCCTACATTGGGAGGCCATGTCGTATCTACAAAAACACACATGGTTCTCACACACGCATTCACACAGACTCACACACTCCTGTGCACACTCACACCTGCACAGCCAGCCTCGGAGGGGACTGGGGTTCCCTGCTTAGGCAGGCAAGTCCCTGAGTCCTTTCCCTCTGAACTGGAAAGCCGCCGTCTTCCTGTTCCCGTCCCGGAGTCCAGCACATTCCGCATCCTGCTAGACCCTCCAAACCCTCGGGAAGCAGGCAGATCCCTTCCTTTTCACGCCCCTCACTGCCCCCTCCTCCAGCATTTACTTTTTTTTTTTTTTAAAGAGAGATTTTTGCTATAGGGAGACAGAGAGGTAGAGAGACAGAGAGACAGAAAGCGAGAAATCACCTCCTGAGGGATGGCCAAGCAGCAATCCCTTCTCCTCCTGGGATTTTGGGCACACATGCACAGACGCCCTCCCTAGCATTTTAAACATGGGGAAACTGAGGCCTGGGGAGGTGCGGGGAACCCATCTGAGGTCACACAGGATCAGCTCTGAACCCAGGGCCCGGGCTTCCCAGGCCACAGCGCCCACCACCTCCTGGCTTGCCCAGGATCCTCCAACTGACCAATGTCAGTGACTGCCCACAGGAGGCTCGGGGCCTGGAGTGGGAGCAGACCTGGCTGGAGGTCCCTGCGGGACTGATCGAGGGTGGTGTATAAGGGGAACCAGGGACCAGGCCGTGTGTCTCTGATGTGGGCTCAGCTGTGCGCAGAGTGGTCCCACCCTGCCCAGCTACTCTGCCCAGAGCACCGTCAGAGCTTCCTCAGGAGATGGCATTTCCGGTCCCTGGATGTCACCAAGAGAAGGCTAGGCATTCACTGGGGTGGGGTGGGGGCGCAGAGGGGAGCCCACATGGGGCTGGAAGACTTGCTTTCTAGGTGGAGAGTCTGGTTTGGGCATGGATCCTGCCTGGAAGGTCCTAAATAACAAGACAGGCAGGGTTGGGGCCTGGGTGGGAGCCGCGCATTACTCCCTGGGGAGCAGACAGTGGTCCTGGTGGCCCCGACCTGCTTGGTGCTCTGGAGTGGTGGCCGGCAGGCCCTGGAGTCAGGCTCTGAAGAACCAGGATCTCTTTGTTGTACCATGGAGCCCAGGTCCCCGGGCAGAGCCCAGGCAGGGTACTCACCCAGCATCCCCAGCAGGTAGCAGGTGGCCGGCGGCAGGTGCTGCAATCCCATGAGCATGGCTTTCTCCTGCTTCAGCCTCAGCAAGCTCCGCACCCGAGGGCGAGGGTGTCTGGCCCGAGTCTTGCTCCCAGAGAGGGAGGGGTGGGGCGGCGGGTGCAGACAGGGGTGGGACAAGGTAGCAGGCAGTGCGGGGCCTGCGTCACACATATTTGAAGTTGAACTGTCAACTTCCTCCTGGCAAAACCACCTGCCCCAGTTTGAATGGCAGCCCTGGGCTCTGCGAGCTTCTGGCCGCAGTGCCCAGGGCTGGGGCAGAGCTGCGTGATCATGTCTAAGCCAGGACAGGGACAGCATCCCAGAGAGACAGGGCTGTGGGACAGAAGGAGCCTTGGGGAGGGATAGGGGGGCTGACAGAGGAGGCCTGGCTCCAGCTGAAGGCAGGCCTGGGAGGTGGCGGGGTGGACAGGGGAGAAGTCTCTGAGGCAGGGTCTCACGGAGAGGTCTCTGAGCTGTGCTGGAGTAATGAGAGGTGGGAGCGGGGTTTGTGGCATCAGTTCTTGTTGCAGACTGGTGGAAGACCACCATGAACCCCCTCACTTCTGCATCATGGGGAATGAAACTGCAAGTTCAGGGCGAATCCCTGTGGCTGTTCTTTAACACAGTGTGCTATGGGTTCCTCCACGAACACTGAACTGTCACAGCCGGAGTGTGAGTTTGTGAGGGTCCCTGTCCACATTGCTGTCAGTGGGGCTGCCATCTCCCCATGGCCGGGGAAAGGAGAGGCAGGGTCTCTGGGACTCTGCAGAGTGGGTGGAGGAGCCTGAGGTAGGGGAGGGGCTCCGCCCTCCCTTACGTCCTGGTGCATAGGGCCGCTCATAACTGAGAACACACCCCGTTTCCAAGTGGAGGCTTGGTGGGTTTTGCAGTGAGACACCTGCTTAGTTGGGGAAAGAACCCATAGGAGGAATGAGGAACTCAGATTAGGGAATGGGGACTTCTGCAGCAGCTGTGATCTGCTGGGAGCCACGCTCACCTTTCCACAGGGCAGTGCAGGGGCCTCCTTCCATCTCCAGAAGCGCCACTGCCAGCCAGCCGGGGTGACTAGGCCTGGCCTTTCCTTCTGTCCTTCCTGGTCCTGCCTCTGGAAATCCCAGCCTCTCCTTCATTTGTTCACACATTCATTCCACAAACACCTGCTGTGTCCCAAGCACCAGGGGTACAGAGATGCAGGAGGACGCAGACTCCTCTCGCCGCTGACACTCCAGAGACTCCCCAGAGACTCCCTGGATTGTCTCTCTCTTAGCGACTGCGTTGATCAGTCACACAAGCTGTTCCTATGACGGAGCCCTTCCCAGCCCAGCTCCCGCACTCCGTCTACAGATTGCCGCAGGGAAGCGAGCGGCGTGTGTACAGAGCACGCATCTCCAGCCACCACCACCTGCTTTTATCTTCCTGGCCCATTTCCCTTTGGACAGATGAGGAAACCGAGGCTCATAACGCCTTTTCACATACTAGCGCCCCGGAGGTCAAGGGAACCCGCAATTTTCTCACTCCACAGCCCTTGTCAGCAGCTCCAGTCCCTTACCAAAAGCAGAGAAACAATTTTTTTTTTTTAGCTTTTTATTTGATCTTGGCGTCTCCATCACAGGCAAGAATTCGGTGCTTGCGAGTTTCTGGAAGCCTGGTTCCCGCCTGCCCCACCCCAGTGAAGGGGGTCTGTGCACTCCCAGAGCCTCCTTCTCTCCGGGGTCGCAGCCTCCCAGACTCGCTCCTCGGCCTCCTCCGCCCCC